AAAAAAAAAAAAAAGCAATGGCAGAATTCTACAATATCATTTGTGAAAATTATCCAACTTGTAATAAAAGGAAAATATTTTTAAAAATTGTAATAATGGTTTTAATGAGATTTATTTGGGAAAAGAAAATGTGTACATAAGAAAAATCTCACATCCTTCAATTCACAAAGGAAAAACAAAACTCCACTAACACTGGGCCAGGCACTTTAGCATTTACCACTCATTCATACAGCAACTATTCATTAATGCACTCTAAGCTTCAGGGATCTCTAAGACACGATCCTGTTCTCATGTACCTTGCCATCAGGTGAGGCAGGGACTGGATACATTAAGGGCTGAGAAAAGATGTAAAAAATACAGTATGTGATAAGAGCAGACAGGCAAGCTGGGAGGTTAGGGAAGATATGAAAAAAGAAGAGGTGGAGCCTATGGCTCAAAGGAGTAGGGCGCCAGCTCCATATGCCAGAGGTAGCAGGCTCAAACCCAGCCCCAGCCAAAAACTCCCAAAAAAAAGAAAAAAGAAGAGGAGGGAGTAGGGCTGCATTTCAGATGCTATCTCACTTAATCCCTAAGACAACACTAACATCTAGGTTAAGTACTTTTCCCATGACTATTAAGTGTCAAAACCAAGCTTCAAAATCAGATTTGGAGTGTGACTCCAAAATCCACGCTTTCTCCACCACGCCATGAGGCTTTTTCCCAAAACCAGTGCTTCTTCACAAAACTGAAGTTAGTTTAAAAAAAAAAAAAATTGACTCTACTCCAAATTCTAAGTATCAGAATTAAGCTCTTTCCTCCAGACTAGGCCCTCTGTTTTTCATCTGCCACCTCCAAACTCATTTTCATGTATCTCTAGATTTGGGAAGCAAAATAAATATAATTTTTTCTCCCAGACTATAACCACGTACAAAAACAACAAAAAACCATCAATGTTTTTCACTTTATCATTTAGTTATATTACAAATAAAACACAGAACTCTCTGGCAATCATTTTGCACGGTGATTCACAGATCAGGGGAACAAAACCAATTAAAGATCTAGGGACACTGGTCAGAGCAAGAGTTAAGCAAAGAAAAATAAAAGCAACTACATAACCAGCAAAGAAAAAAACCATGCTTTTGGCTCAGCGCCTGTAAGTCAGGTGGCTAGGGCGCCAGCCACATACACAGAGCTGACAGGTTCAAATCCAGCCCAGGCCAAAAAATAGCTGGGCATTGTGGTGGGCGCCTGTAGTCCCAGCTACGTGGGAGGTTGAGGCAAGAGAATTGCTTGGGCCCAGGAGTTTGAGGTTGCTGTGAGCTGTGACACTACAGCACTCTACCCAGGGCAACAGCTTGAGACTCTGTCTCAAAAAAAAAAAAAAAGAAAAAGAAACAGCCATACTTTCACTTCTGAAATGACTTTCACATTCAACAGTTCTCATCTATGATGCAGGTCTCTACTCCAGAGGGCTGTACTTTCCCTTCCTGTTTTTACTTCCATTTTTTCATCTCTTCCATTTTTTAGGAATATCAAACTTCAAAGCAAAATTTTTATTACATTAGATGTGTGAGTTATAGCAACAGAACAGTCGTATAAAAACCAAATCTGGCAAGCTTCCTTTTCCTCTATGATCGTCTTGTGATTTTTTTTTTTTTATTTGAGACAAAGTCTTGCTCTGTCACCCTGGCTAAAGCACAGTGTTGTCATGATAGTTCACTGCAACCTCAGACTCCTGGGCTCAAGCAATCCTCCTGCCTCAGCCACCTCAGTCTCCCAAGTAGATGGGACTATAGGTGCACATCACAATGCCAGCTAAGTTTTCAATTTTTTTCTATAGATGGGTGGCTCTTGCTCAGGCTGGTCTTCAACTCTTTTTTTTTTTTTTTTTTTTTTCAGAGTTTCAAGCTGTTGCCCTGGATAGAGTTCTGTGGCATCAGAGCTCACAGCAACCTCAAACTCTTGAGCTTAAGCGATTCTTCTGCCTCAGCTTCCCAGGTAGCTGGGACTAGAGGCACCCGCCACAATGGCTATTTTTGTTGTTGCAGTTGTCATTGTTGTTTAGCTGGCCCAGGCTGGGTTCAAATCCGCCAGCCTCCTGAGCTACAATTCTATCTATAGATACAATTCTATCCCCTTCTCAAATGAATGGGTTGAAACGTGGGGAGTGCCTAAGGCAGGTGGAATATTTCAGTGCCCCTCAGCTGAAGGCCCTAAGTATGTACCCAGGGTGCAGGGAGACACCTGCGTGGGTGCTGTTTGGGGAGAGAGGCAGAGGAGCAGGACTGTGGGTGCCTTAGGGATTACAGGGTGTTCCTCTCTGGACTTCCTAACCAGCAGCTTGACA